ACAAACACACATCCTTCCTCCTGTAACCTTGCTGAAAGAACACGCTGTGGTCCACAGGTAGAGGAGGAGGTTTACCCAGCATGTGGTGGCAGTTACTTCTTAAAGCAAAGGGTAGGATGCAACCTCCAGTTCCTTGCATATTAAGGATCGGGCAGTGTAACTTTCTACGCTGTCCCTCTATGTGTTTACAGCCTCCCCCTCTGATCCTGGGACAGTTTACGAGAGGAAATATGTCTGAATGGGCCCAATCCAGAGTGGACTGTGGGAGGTCCCTACGCAGAAGAAAACCTGTTTTTCTCAACCATGATTGGAGCACTAGGGCATGTAGGAGGGAGAAGGCCAGTGATCGGATGTTGTGATTGGTGGGTTAATTCTACAGGAGGAAGTGGGTATTAAAGTACCCAAACCTCAGAGCCTGGGGGTGGCAATCTCTGGCTGGCAGTAAAAACATCAACAACTCTTTGACGTAAACAATGAACCCACAGCAACATCTTGAATAGTCTACACGGAGCCAAAGGAAAAAGACCTGCTAATGACAAAAAACACGGTCCACTGTCAAGAACAAGGTCGATTTAAATGTTCCATTATTCACCTACTGACAAGTAGAAAACAGTGTACAGTACGTCCAAAATATGCACTAATCATTAGGAAAAGGAAGCCATTATTCATCTCCTACGATTTCACTGAGGGTTTAAAGATCTGTCTTGTAGCCAATTCAGAACTTCAGATAACTAACAGTAAGTAACTAGCAATTAGTTTCATTATCAATAAATACCATTAAGTTCTAAATTATATAAAACCAAATATCATAATGTAGTGATATAATACTTATAATAGGTATAATCCCCCAGTGGCCAAGATGACATTGTCCAATGACCTTGTTTTATCAATATTACAAAAAAATCGAGAAGCTGGAACCTTCAAAGAGAATAGAGTTTAAAGTATTGCTGCTAGTTTTTCTCAATGGTTATATAATAACCTTGCTTTGCCTCAAATGTTTGGCATGCTAATTTGAAAAATTACTTAAAGGTCCAGTGTGTAACATTTAGAAGAATATATTCACAGAAATAGTATATAATATTCATAGGTATAATTTGATTAGTGGATAATCACCTAAAAATAAGGATCATGTTGGCTCTAGACAGAGCTTTTTCGTGTAGTTTCTCCTACACATTTGGAAGGGGCAACAGTATTCAGTATCCACACACTGGTCCTTTAAATGATGAATCGATTATCAAAATAGTTTCCAATTTACTTTGTGACTAATTGATTAATTGTTTCAGCTGTAAAATGTTCACAACTGTTCCTAGTTTGATAGTATTTCTTCAAATATGTGCTGAGATGTGAAACAGCTTTTGCAACTTACATTTACCTACTGGGTGCATCTTTTGCAATCCACAGTCCAGCCTGGGACTAATCTAGCAAATGAAGGTCTGGACCATGTTAAAAAACAAAACATAAATTAAGGCCAGAAATTATGATCTATGGTAGTAAAAGCTAAAGAACAAAAAACTAAATTACACAGCTGAGACAGTTGCATTTTGCCCAATGGGAAGAATAAGACTGTCAAATGCAGATCCTTGAAATATGATCACTTCCGCAAACGGGAGATTATGCCCATTCATCAAATATGAAGAGCCAAACCAGCGAGCCAAAAGCCATTTGTTCACAAGAGGCAAATTTGTGCTGGCTGAAAAAAACAACGTGTCGAGGGAACCATGGGAAACTTGTGCCAGTCTACTCACAGATTCCTTTTGCCACCGAGGCCACAGTCTCAACAACATAGCTGTGGCCACAAAGCAACCTCAGCCAGACAAAGACACAGACAGACCGAGGGACAGACGTAGAAACAAATAAAGGCAGGCGGAGATAGCCACAGTAACAAGTACAGATGAACAGACAGTGGCTGGTTCTCACCAAGTTTGACCTCAGTGGGCTATTTCCGCACTGTCAGGTCCACATCTTTTTATGTCCTCAGCCCTGTTTGTCAGTGTCACACACATTAAAGTGTCAAAAGTGGAAAACCATGGCTAAAGAAAGAGCTGCTGACAGAGGGGAAAAAAAAAACATGTTTGGTCACCCTAGGAATAGTCAAAAAGGAAGCATGTTGTTGTGTGTGCATTGCATACGAGTGTATATGTATGTGTGAGCCTTTGTGCCCGTATAACGCTGCAATGTTGTGCAATCTGTCGTTGAACTAACATGGCCTCTGCCTGGGGAGGAAGGGCCCCCCGAAACTGACTGAGGCATGTGGTCAGCGAGATGTAGGAGGGATGGGGAGAGAGAAGGACGGACCGAGGGAGAGAAAAACTAAGAGGCACGATGCAGCACCAACACACAGCATAGCCACAACACACACTTTGATTCCAAAACACTTCGGATTGTAAACATTAAAGCAGCTTGGTGTTGCTGATGCGACCTGTATCTCCTCACTCCCACACCTCCATCCATCTCTTTTCTACCCCCCTCCTCTTCCTGCCTGAGCGTGAGACAAAAATGCAGCAAGACATCAGGTGTTGCTATGGCAACAGAAGACAGCACAAGTGAGGATAATGTGGACGGATGCCATAGTGAATGAAAACAACAAAACAGAAGATAATAAACACTAGTACATCCTAGATCCACTACCTGGTGTCTCTGGCTCCAGAAAACCCCACCATTCCTAACTCAAAGGAGGTGAAGGAGACCAGTGTAAAGGATTGGCCGTCTGTTGCCACGGTTACAAAGCAGGCAATGGGCAGGTATTGCTCTGGTTCTATAACATCTTTTCACTGAATTGGTTTTTCATCCTTATACTGTTATTTAATCTTCTATTTACTGATCCAAACGCTCCTGGCAGTCCATCGGGACCATGGGCCTATTCATGAAGGTTTCTGCAACCTGGACACACTTTGTTGATCCAAATTCTCCTCCAAAGTCATCCATCAAGTCCATCCATCAACATTGCCAATCAGCGTCTCATAGTTTTGAAGTGGACAGCAGAAACATGCCAAACTCTTTATGAACTCTGGGCCACAGCTGGTCTCCAGGAGGTAAGCTGCTGTGAGCCAAGTGCCGGTTATCAAACACACAAACATGCATTTTTCCTCTACCAAGTATTGCACTTCCATAATGCAGGAGCCTATATTTCCCAAAAGCTGTGTTCATATCATATGGATGGTAAAGATTCCTGTGTAGGTGAGCGTTCACATCACAGGACTGATGTATCACTTCAAGGTGAATATATAGAGCTTTCAGAAAAACGACAACACTATTTGCAAGTTGACATGAACGTGGCACGTCTTTCAAACTCCACGCGCCCAGTTTGTGAAGCAGGCTTCCTGTAGCATAGTCTCCAAGGCCGAGCTGAGACAACCCTGATGTTATGTTATTTTCTCAGACTTTAGAAAGCTCCCTTCAGGGACCCTCCAACTGTTGTCTGCACTCCCCATGAGAAATAAACTGATGTTCAAGTGTACAATCGGTGGAGTGCCACTTTAAAGGACAGCTTTGCCTACTGTTGCTACACGTGCAAAGAGTCCAAATGTCTCCCAGATGTAACAGCAGTAAAATCTGATCTGTTCAATCACATGATGATGTGTATGCGTGCCATTCTGCATCCCCATAAGCTGAAACCGGTATGGCAGCTACAATGTTAGGTGTAAGTGTGCTATTGATTCTATCACTCTGTTCTTGAGACCCGATAAGGTTGAAGTGGTGGACTTAAGGATGGCAGTAAAATGATAATGAGTAATATGAAATCGATAAATTTAAACACATATACAGACTAGTGAATAACTATGCTTACATACATAATTTATCATGAACTTAAAATAAAGCAAGCAGCTAATGTGAAGGGGAAAAATAAAATAACATCACCTCAAATTATTTCAACCTTGCTCCACATGACTGTAAATGTGGCTATTTTTCTTTTAGTGTAGATTAGTTGGCAAAGTGCGTGACTTGGAATGATTACTCACAGGCACAAGCCCAACGTTTTCTTCAAAAGCAACAGAGCCACGGAAAATGTGAGATACACGGTGGCTCTGTGACACTTGTTGAGCGTGACACTGAAGCCCCAAAAAAACAACAACAACAACAACAAAAGGAAGCAGTGTTCAATCAACCTTCATCAATAACAACTCATCTAGGGTTGGAAGTATGGAACGTTATCCACAAGGTGATAGTTCTGGAACGCGGTTGCTGGGCGACACATGAGCGGTCAGAGCTCGGCTGTTTAAAGTAATCAGAGTCAGAGGGGAGGGTTCATACAGATGTTTGTTTATGGGATCGTTTGCGCCCCCCCCACACACCGGAAACTCTCGGTTTTAATAATTCGTGATTCCATCTTCTTGACGCCTGGGCAGAAGAGGGGATTGTGCAAGTTCACTTGGCAGGCAGTCCTGCAGGCCGACATCTGGAGAGCATTACGTCTGCAGGAGACGTGAAGCCAGGCTCGGTGCACGGCTTGCCCCTGGATATCAAACTACGTGTCATTAACGTTGTATCCCCCTCTCCCTCTCTCCCTCCCTCTCTTCCCCCTCTTCTTAACAGGTCGCAGGCGGCAGGTTACTGTCTGTCTGCTTCTTCTTCTTCTTCTTCTTTTCTGCAGCGGTTTCACACAGTAAACGGAGAGCACAGCGGAGATGAAGCATCCTGATGTGACAACATGAAGGAAAACTAGAGTGACACCAGGAGAGGGCCTGCAGCTGCAGTCAGTGGGTTAGTGTGAGGATGGGGGGGG